AATTGGCGTTACTTTTAGCACCTCCGCGAGCGCACTTTCACCGTCCACCGACCTTGAAAAACATCGACGTTGCTCTAACCCTTCGGGCATCGCGCGCCATTAGAGTGAAAGCGTGACCTCGTGTAAACGAATCCTCTCCCAGCTATTTACATTTTTCCAAGATTACGAGAGCACGAATATATATTCCGAAGCGTCTCTCGAAAAACGTGTTTTCGTATCAGTCTCGATTTATGTATTCGAAATGTTAACGAGCGAGTTTCTCTTCTCTCCGCGCGTGGTCGATCGTGTTTACCTCTCTTTGCCCTATTCGAATCCCGCACTTCTTCTCTCTGTATATGTAATGATCTCTCGAAACGGCACGTGTCGTCCTCGTGCGAAGAAATTGCTCGTACGCACCTATCTGTCATTAGTGTCTTTGACGACGATTTCGACATGACACTTCCACGGTTTGTCAATCCGCGTATTTACACACGCGGCGTGACGAAGTAACGAGAGATATTTCGTAAACAATAAGCAATTTATTTCAATAAATAGCGTTTTTTACGGCGCTGATCATTTTCCAAGTAATTTCCATTTGCCGCGACTTAATAAGCAATTGTTTCCTTATTTTTTCTCTCTCTCTCTCTGTTAATTAGAGATGGTTTCAGGAAAGCGGCGTATTTTACTGGAATTATTATTATTGAAAATAATTGTCTTTCTTTTTCACCGTTTTTGTTTTACACGTCATATCACATTTTGCTTTCCACAATGCACGCGCGATGAGCGCATAATTGCGCTCATGAATCACGCATTCAGCTCGTAATCGGCGGCCGTATCACGCCACTTTCGCAAAATGAACTCACCGACTTCCCACACTAACTGGATCGATATCTGCAAACAAACTCTTAAATAATCGCCATTGTCTACAACATTCGATACGTGGAACGCGCGGCGCGCGGTATGAATTATATCAAGCTACCCGCGAGCGCAATGAGTAAGAGACGGACAAATAAAAGTGGAACTCCGTCGGCGCGTCTACATAAAACGAACGCGACGCGCATCGTCAACGACGCGAAAAGCAAAAGATGAGTGTTAAATTAATTACCGATTACACTCTCGCAAGAGAAATATTTAAAATCAAATGTCCTTTGGGAAAAGGGGGTATGTCGATGTGTGTGTGTGTGTGTGTGCGCGAACATCTAAAAATAGAAATTCTATTTCCACACCGCTCACGTTTCGCCGGAATGAATTAGATGAATGAAACTCCCCTTCCCTCTCCCCGGCCACGTGTATTACGACGAACGGAGATTAAATTCGCGGAATTGCGCGTTCGTTTCCCGAGCGAGCAGCCGCGAGCGCGTTTTAGCCCCGTGCTTTTTCGCGTGGTAAGTAGGTATAGTCTGGCTCTCCGTGATACACGGTGATTCATCGGCACACGACGTGTAAAGGTCGTAAAAGAAACGATAGAGAGAATGAGAGAGAGAGAGAGAGAGGCACTGGCGCGCTCGCGCGACTGTACGCGTCGCCGACTTCGCGGGATCCGTAACCTTTAGGAGGAAAAACCGGTTTATTTTTTTTTCTTCTTTTTCGCCGATACATAGAGACGGTTCTCTTCCTCTCTTTCGTCACAGTGTACGCGTAACGTATACCGTCGAGAAAAAAAAATACGTGTGTACAAAACTTGAGTGATGGAGATTTATTTCTTTTTTTTTTTTTTTTTTTTTATTAAAGTCTCCTCTTAGAAGAGGAGGGAGAGGGTCACTGACACGACAGCGGTTTGTTGCGCGTGCGCGTTCACTTCTCAAAAAAACACTTGTCACAATATTTCATCCCGTTGCGAATTATTAAGAAGTAATCAGAGTTCGCGGAAGCTGATTAATTACACGCTCATTAATTGGGACAAAAAGATTCTCGGAATTGCGCGCAAGAATTGCCGCTAACTAACATTCGAAGACACGTACAGGAATCTCACGCTTACAAATTATTGTGACCGCCGGTATAATTACGTCCGAAGTATAACGACTTCGCGAAATGTAACCAGTCATTTTGGTAATTTAATTTCTCTTCAAAACCAAATATAGAAATTCCAATTACAACACGCGGCAAATTAACTCGTAGAAAAATAAACGTAATTTTTCTTACTCCCATACCACGAAATAAAGCAGAAACTAAACCGATCTCTATAATGCGATTCGAAACAGAGAATTGTGCAACAACGTATCGCCTCGTCGGTTATGAATTTTCCGCGTTTTGACGCACGTGCGAGATTTTCTCGACGCAACGAGTGTGTCGGAAAACAAATAACCGCCTTGTCTTTGCGAATCGACGCGATTAGATACGCGATATACACTCGTCGGATTGTGTGTGCGCGAAGATTTATTATGCGCGCGAGGTAAAATATCGTGCGCGCGATCGAGCGGTTGTGATGTACAAAAAAAAAAAAACGCACATCGACATCGGCGGGAATCGTTAATATCGCGAACTCACACACGCGCGTGATCGGGAAACAAGTCCGCTCTCTCAAGAGCGCACACGTGTTGCTGGAAATTTCCAGACTCTCGCGTGCAATCTCACACGTCCCCGGGCTCTTTTCGCAAACATCAATAAACGTTCCCGCGACCGAATGAAAACGTAAGTTCGGTGGCTGGAGCGACTGTCACGATCGAGCACGTATCGTGGCCGCGATGTTTGCCGATGTCAGCTGGAGCGGCCGGGATAATCGAAATATAATGAGAAGGAAAAACTTGTGAAACACGCACGCACGTTGATAAAATATCGAAATCCGATGCTAATGATTATGGTCGTTAAAAAAAATGATAATTTAGAAAATGTGTGCGTGTGTGTGTAATAAAATATCATTAATCAGTTGATCGTTTATCGATCGAGCCGGCGATACGCGCAGAGATTAAAAGCTCTTAGGCTCTTATCTCATCGTGCGATAACATCTGGAAGGATTTACAGGTTCTTAAATGTTTATTATTACAAACGATTGTAATTATCGCGCAAAGTGTATTTGTGTGTGTGTGTGTGTGGGAAAACGCGCGCAGTTTTTCGGAGATTTGTGAGAGTATGTGCGTGTTAACAGACGCTATGCCGAACGCTCACACGTCGTCGACGTTTATTTGACGAGAGATTTTTGGTGCCGTCACGTTTTTCTTGTCTCGTTTTTTTTTTTCTTACCCGAGCTATTACGCACGCGCTCTCATACTCGACGTGACTTATCGTGTTATTATTTCGCAACTTGGTTGTAGTATTAAAAATCATTAAAAAAAATATTTCTATATACTCATGCTGTTGACGAGCGCGCAACGGCGTTTCAACATTCAAGATTTTTCCACACACGAGTCTCGTTTTAATATTTAAATGATTTCACTTTTTTTTTTTTTAATGCATGACATTGTTACGAACACTTCGAAGCTTTTTTTTATCCTGCATCGTCGCACGTTTAAAAGAGGAGCGCGTATAATAGAAATTCAAATCGTCTTAAAACTCCATATGAGAGACCGGCATAATTTATGATAATGCTTTTTTTTTCCTCCCGAAGAGATACTGATTCTCTCGCGCGCGAGATGAATCAGAACGACTTGTTCGAACGCAATTTCTCGGGGAAACGTGTATAGTTTGCTCGGCGATAAAATACAATTGCCGAAAAAAAAGCCGGTTCCGGGGAATAACCGATTCCGTGAGAAGAGTTTTATATAAAAACCGCCTTATGTCAACGTGTTTTTTTTTTATCTGCTCTTACAAAAAAGAGGGAAAAAAGATTGCGAAACTGTAAATTTAGTTTTCTTGGGTTCAGTTTTTTCATGGCTTGTGAAATAACCGGCGTCGCTTTTTCGCTTATCGCTTTTTGCTTGATTGTCGGTTTTCAGATAAAAAAAAAAAAACGGTCGCAATATCGAGTATCGGTCGCGATATCGAGTATCGGTTTGTTTCATATATTTTTTTTTCCTTTTTTTTTTTTGTCGTTAAAACGATCGGGTGAAATCGCGTTTACGCGCACAAGCGCGAGATCTAGGACTGGGAGATGTCTCGCGGAATGAAAATTGTTGGCAATCGCGTTTGTTGAAGTGGTATCACTCGAGATACCGCGACTATCTGTGCGTTCTATTTAAGTTTTGTTGTCTATTTTATCTGCCGCGCGAGACAGATAACGAGAGAACGCGATTATTGACTTTTAAAAATCGAGATCTCTCGCATTGCTGTTTTGTTACATTACAAACCCATTTTAGTGCGTTGAACTATGGTGCTGATTATGTACTAATCGAGATAAGAATTCCGTTCTCCCCTAAAGAGCGCGATAACGAAAACCTCGAAGTTAACGCGGTGTAGCACATTTAATATATTTTTTTCTCTTTTTCTCACGTTAAACACGTTATTGAATTCTTGTCCTTCTCATTTAATTTGCATAATATACGCAACTTGTACGGTACGGTTTGCACAATTGTCGTCAATTGTCGATGCGCGTCATAGCGCGAACGCATCGGCTCGAAAGCGAAGAGGTGAAAACCGGGACACAAAGTGCTTTGGGATTCCAGTGTCATCATAGGATCTTCCCAAAGCTGATCTGCAACAAACAGCCGCTTGCGTAAGCGACTGTTGTCGCAACGTGTCTCGCCTTCCGATTTCTTAGCGAACGACGCATTGTTCGCACCGAAACAATCGTGCAGCAGCGACAATCCGACTTGTTTGGCATTGCTATCTCTCATCGGCCGAACGATGACTTCGCGAAATCGTCGAGTCTTATTTGTTATCATTCGCGACGCCATTTCAAGTGTCTCGGATTACCACGCATGATGTGGTCTCACAGTCCATTCGCGATAACGCACGCGCACTCTCTTGAGCTTATAATTAGTGAGTAAGAATTTTTTTTCAGAACGTATAAATCTATATCAATGTTTCTCCTTCTTTCTGATTACAGAACGCAGCCTCGAACAAGACGAAGGAGTCGTCGACGTCGTCGAATTCTACAAGCAACGGCGCCACTGGCAACAATGTCAGTAATGGACACGCTCCCCTTAAACGCTACACCTCTCTGATGACCACTTTGATGGAGCAGCATCGAAAACTGGACCGTAGCGTTAGCGAACCGACGTCCCGCTACAAGACGGAGCTGTGCCGGCCGTATGAGGAGAACGGCTCGTGCAAGTACGGCGACAAGTGTCAGTTCGCGCACGGCTATACCGAGTTGCGTAATCTCGCCCGCCATCCCAAGTACAAGACCGAGCTGTGCCGCACGTTCCACACAATCGGCTTCTGCCCGTACGGGCCGCGCTGCCACTTCATCCACAACTTCGAAGAGGCGCGCATACACAATCAGAAGGTGACGGCCCAGTTGACGGGCGGTTCGACCACGCAGACCAATCTCGTCGGTTTGAATCCACTGATGAGCGCGGCTGCCGCTGCCGCGGCAGCAACCGCGGTGAACGGCATCGCAACCAACGCCAGTGCTAACAACGCCAGCAACATCAGCGTGAGCCTGCTGGAACAGCTCGCGGCGTCGTCGCAAGTGGCGGCGGCGGCCGCGGCCGCGGCCACCACGTCGAACCTTATGAGAACGAACTCGCTGAGTCTCGGCAGTACCGGCAATGTCAACGCCTACAATCAGCCGCCGTTGTTGAGAACGTCGTCGTTGAGCTTGGGAACGAATCATCATCACGTGGCGGCAGCGGCGGCTGTGCACCATCACGTGAATTCGGTGATCGGTGCAACAAAGCCGAAGCCGCTCAATCTCAGTCCGACCTTCTCCCTCGGCAGCTCTGCCGACTCGGTCTCGCCGTCTTCTAGCCTCAGTCAGTCGCCGACGAACTCGATACCGAACTTCTTCGGCGACGATGGCTGCAGCCAGCAGACGACGAATCTGCAGACGACGCCGTTCAGCTTTGGCCAGGATTTCAGTCTGCTCGCGTGCTCGAGACAGAGCCCGAGTCCGCGCAACAACGGCGTCTGCAATCACATGGCGTCCGACGAGGTGGCGCCAAGAACACCGTCACCGTTGTCGCCCAACACCGAATCCAGATTGCCGGTGTTCAATAGGATCAGCAGCACTCTGGGCGACTTCGACAATCTCAAGATTTAGACCAGCAGCCGGACTTTGCACCGCGAGCTAAGAGGAAGGGAAGCGAACTCTCCCTGTCTCTCTCTCTCTCTCGGGTGAGTTTCGCGTTCCTAAGGACAAAATCTTGATGAAAATCTTTGAGTCTTGATTCGATGCTTCCTTTTTTTTTTTTTTTTTTCTTTTTGAATATGATGATACCTTTCCTCCGCAGTGAATGAACTGTTTGTGAGGAATGTCTTCTTTAATTTTTTTTTTTTTTATACACGGGGTTCGCGCGATGCGATTCTCCTTTGATCATCATCGGCCGCTCTTTTTTTAGAGAAAAAAAAAGTTGCGCTTTTTCTGAGCACACGACAGGTTTTCTTCATTTTCATTCTTTGAGCCACACCCTGGTTTATTCCTTTTTTATATTATTATTACCACCATAATCATCATATATATTATCACTGTACTATTGTAATATATTATTTAGGTACTATATTATTATTATTATTATTATTATTATTATTATTATTATTATTATTATTATTATTATTAGATATCATATAATTAATTATTAATATATCGTCTCTTCTTCTTCGTAAATATATTCGTATTATAATTTAGTAAACGTGAGTTTAGCGAACACGAGTAAATATATATACATATATATATATCAACCCGGAAGTCTGTGAGTCCGCTCGCTCAGTCTCGAAGATGGAGATCGGTGGGCGCGAGGAGAGGTAAAAAGGGAAGGAAATCGCGAAAAGGATCGGAGGGGACGATCCCGAAGTAAACCGAGCGTATAAGCTTATATATGTATTCCGAGACGTGATTTCTTTTTCCTTTAAACAAATTGTTCATTGATCTCACTCGGTGAATCTTCAGTGTAACGCGTTCCCTTCCGCGGTCCTCGGAAACCTCGTCTTTCCCTTCTCCCTCTGTTCGCGTCTGCCGCCCTTCCTTGCCGTTGGATCTTCCCGAGCGCGCCGCGACGTTATTTTCGATTCCTCCGGGGCAGGTGAAATGTTGCAATATCCAAATAACATATGATTACGTTTCTTCGAGTTTCTTCTTCGGAGGAGTGAGAAAGAGCGGGGCGAAAGTCGTCTCGAGAGTGAAAGGAGAGACAGGAGCGAGCAGCTCTTGTGTCAGAATGAGAGAGAGCGAGAAAGTGTGCATGTGTGAGTGAGAAAGTGAGAGAAAGAGAGAGAGAGAGAGAGAGAGAGAAAGAGAGACGGGTGAAAACGATTAACGCACCGCAAACGGCACCCGATATATCGCCACCGAATGCGCGAATCTGTCGCGAAATAATATTTCTGGATCCGACACACGTTTCTTCTCTGCCATCTCGTGGCTGCTTTCGATTCTAAAGAAAAAAAAAAGAAAAAAAAACATTCGGCGCATTTTGACTGACCGCGCTGATCTTTAACCTGGCGTCTTACTTTATTGCACTCAACATTCGCGTTTTGTTATTTTTTTTTCGCCGGCGTTTTTACACACTGAATATCACCGGCATTCGCGAGAACGTTACGGAATTTTACCGAGTTGAAAACGCGCCCGTGTGTAAACTGGGTTTTAAAAACGGAACATCGCGCGTAAATAAACATGTATACAATTCACTGAAACAAAGAGCTTTTGCTTTCGATCATTAATTTTTCTAAGCAATTTGTAGAGTAGAATAGAGATTAGAAGTAAGGTAGAATTTTTATTTAGACTAAGTTTTTTTTTTATTTATTTGAGCGAAAAGAGAGCGAGAGAAAGAGAGAGTGGGTGTCTAAGCGATGAGGGTGAACGAGGGAGTGACTGATGATGATGATGATGACGACGACGATTTTTGTAGAAAACAATTCCAGAAATACATTCGGTGCCGTTTTCGGTGCGCGCGCGCGTAGTGCGGTCGGCTCGGCCGCGATCGAGAGAGAGAGAGAGCCTTCAAACGAGTGCCTTCAATAAACTTCGATTGTCTTCCATAATCGCGGTGGTCTAAGCTTTGCCCACACGGTGCGAATGTGTATTGCGAGTATTGTGATACCGCGAGGTATAGAGAGGAAGAGTGGAGACACAGAAGCGGATGGAGACGAGGGGGGAAAAGTGCTGGTGTGATTGTGCGCATCTCTTTGATTCGCAAAGTTTGCTGCGTCTCGAAAGCAGGCGATAATACGATAAGTGCGTAGGAAATAGTAATAAAAGTAATAAGAAAAATAAGAGCTATTTTAATATATTTTATATTACAAAATATATACGCACACATACATATATATATGTATATTCATACTCGTAGGAAAGAGAGGGTACATTACTCGATCGAATTGCGCGGTCCGCATCGGTTTCACCGACGAGCGTTCCTCTCTTCATAGGATAAATGAAGGATCCGCATCTTTTACGTCGCGTGAGATTTTGGCTTTTTTTCTCTGTTTTTTTTTTCTTGTACGCGCGCGCGTTACACATATTTAACGAACGTGTGTTATTTAATCGCGACGAGAACGCAAAGAGGAAAGCTTTTTACGCGCGACGGTGATGCCGGTGTCTCTCCGCTTCGTACATGTATTGTTCTTTCCAACAACAACAAAAAAAAATGTGATAACTATAAAGTGAACATATGTTAAAGCATACGATAAAAACTATTGCGTATATAGAAACGTTTAATTGTTATATAGAGCTACGCAGAATGGAACGGAGAAAGAGAGCGCGAGAGCGAGTGAACGAGAGCGTACGAAGGGGATGGTATTTTGTCCATCCACGATATCCATATACGAATATTATAAAAATGACGGAGAGGAAGATGATAAAAAAAAAAACGTGTGTGAGAGAGAGAGAGAGAAAGAGAGAGAGAGAGAGAGAAAGAGAGAGAGAGAGAGAGAAAGAGAGAGAGATAGATCAAAAAAAAAAAAAAAGTCCGAGACGTCCCGGGCACCGCGCGATCTCTCACGGACGGAGGAAGAAAAGTTTCGTTTGTATGTTTTTTTTTTTTTTTTTTTTTNTNTTTTTGGTGACGCGTTTCGTTCTCTGCGATACGAGCCTGTGAACTTGTACAGTTGCGGAATGTGTCTCGATCCCGGTAGTAAGAGATCTGCGGTGTCCGGGTCGCGTCGCGTTACACACACTCGATGCGAATCGATTTAAATTAACACAGAGTTAACGACGAAAGCAAAATGCAAATACAAAGCTGACAGTTTTTTTTCCGAGAGAGAGAAAGAAAAAAATTAATCGAAGATATGATTTCTTGTACATAAGCGCTAAACTCTTCTTAAATGCCAAGATACACACACACACACACACATATATACACACCGAGTGTTTTCGTTTAATTTATATCGAAACTTGTTATATTATAGATTTACTTTATTATTATTATTATATTAATATAATTTTTTATTATTAATAATTAACTATGCTTAGTATATATGGATACAATATTATTATTATTATTTTTAAGCAATATTATATCGCGTTCCACATACAAAATCAACGCTGCCTTACCCTTATGAAATATTCTATCGAAAGGTGGTTTCACCGATTGTCCCATTACTTTATATCTTCCATCCCCTTACCCCCCTTTATTCTTCCGTATATGGATAAACGCGAGTGCTTCCACCTCAAAGTTTGCATACCTATTCGTTTTTTCGGACGTCGCACAGTTCCTTCCTTCGACGTTCCGATCGCTCTTACCGTTATTACGTATCTTCTCAATAATTGTTAATATCTTCAGTAGCAAATCAACACGATTTCGATCCTCGTCGCCGTGAAAAACAAAAACAAAGTCCCTCTTCGCGCGCATCTTGTATTTATTTGTAATCACTTAACATACAAGAGTCACGGTTTGTTCCGTCAAAGTATCCGTGCAACAATTGCGGTTAAAGAGAACAAATGATGAGGAAACTCGAATTTCGAAAGATCTACCTATCGAGAAATAAAAATGTAAATAGAAGTAACTTTTTGATTTTTTTTTTTTTTTTCTAAAGAACGTTCTGAAATTGGATCGAATCACATTTTTCAGCGCAGCTTCTCGCGCGATCAGAATAAGTTTTCGAACTTCTTGGGAGAAAATTTTCGTTACGAAGTTAGCTAAAGCAGTCGTGTGATCTTTCAGCGTTCGCGCGATTAGAAATCGGCGCGAGGATAGAAATAGAAGAAAAAAAAAGAGAGAAAGAGAGAGACGCTGATTATGAGAGACTGAGACAGATGCGGAGAGTGAAAGTCTCTCTTGACGCGCACGAGTGTGTAACTGACTAGCAAGATGCGCCGTGAAGAGAGACAACCGCGTAAGATGGAACGGAAAAAGATGCGACTTTTAGTCAAGTCGGTCACTCTTCGTCGGTGAGTGAGAAAAAATCGCGATTGTATAATCCGCCCGTTCGCGTGATGTCGAGAAACATTGATGGGACGCGTGTTTTTCGGGATTGACGTCGCCGGGAACGACGTTCTGCTGACGAATGACCGCGAGTGCATTTGCAAAATAACAATTTTTTTTTTTTTTTCTCGTCAATCATCGAAGGAACCGACGAAAGTGACAAAAAGAAAGCGACGACGGTTATTTCGACATACCCACCTGCAATTAACCGGCTGGATGTGCTCCGATCGGAGTCCCGAGGACGCGCTTTTCTCTTCCCCCTTTTCCCCCTCGACATACGTCGTCGTGTTCGATTTTGCAACCCCGCCACTACTTAGCAAGCGAAAAACGGGAATCGCCGATCTCACGCGAGCTTTAAGTTTCTTTGTTGAATGACTTGTCTTTGATTTTTTTAAACGGACCCTGAAAGTCTTTTTTTACGAAATTGAATGCATGCGTGAGACTATTTTGTTTTTTTTTTCCCTCCTTTTTTATGTACAAAACATCGAAAGAGGGCGAGAAAATCGCCGTTTTTCGTCACCGAGATCGGCGTTACCGAGCTTGAGAAATACTGTTTTTTTTTTTCTTAGAATTTCATTTCTTTGTTATAACATATTATATATATATACCTTATTTATTTAAATTATTATAATTTCTATCTCATATATATACACACACACATACATATTGTTACCATTATTTTCACCGAAGTTTATATCCCAGAGTTCATGAAATATAAGATGTACGTAGTCGCTTACGCAGAAGGTGGGATCGCATCTAATATGTATATATATATATATATATACATATATGTATATATATATATATTATATGTATTTAGCTTCATAGAATTTTGATTTACCGTCGCTTTGGGTTTTTTTTTTTTTTATTAATTTTAGTTTGTACATTTATATAATCACGTCACACGCATTATCTTTCAGCGCGTTTGATACTCCGTGATATATATATTTCGAAGTGGTTTCTCAAATGCGATACAATATTAATATCTCTCGTCAAACTGAAGTTTGGAATTAATTTATTGCTTCATTGTTAGTAGTTAAAGAATTGTGTTAATTTATTGAATAAAAATAAGCTTCCATCGCGCGTCTCTCGCAGGACTCAACACGCACCCCCGGCCAAGCCTCGCGTT